AGAATGAGGGAAGTCAAAGCGATTCATTCAATTAGTGAACTAGGGAAGGTTTTTCGCCTGGGTAAAGCCTTGGGTATTCGAAGCAAATTTGTGTACCTTTTTCGCCAAGGCTGCATACTTTTCTAAATAGTTACTCGCATATTGCTGTGAAGTGAGTGAGTGTTTACTGAGTGTCTACATTTTGATTTCTCAGAAATCTCAACATTAGGGTTGTTTCATAAGTGAGTTGATAACTAGCTTGTTTTAGTATAATATGATTTTGCTCACCTAACGTTATTTTTTCGCAGGCATCCGGTGGCAGCGTAAAACCTAGCACTGTCATCATTGAGATCACCAACGAAGGAATAATCAGATTTATGCCGTAGGCCAACGTCCTTCTTCTAATTCGTATATAGTAGTACAGCTCATGATAAGATGAGTCACCAAATGGGGTCACCACTCGGGTTCCAGGAGTATCTGTGAACGACTGAAAAGTTTATACAAAGAGAGGGTGGTTGCTTACTCATGAGATCCCATTCGCCATTGTGTAGGTAGACTTGTAAGTCGATAGATTCATTTAGCATATAGCTGCCCGGATTTTCGCCATATGGAAGTTTGCTGGCATTTACTGGATGTCCTTTTACTCCTGCGACGAAGGAAAATAATGAACTGTGGGATAAGTTTTCTAAATATGCAACTACAGGCAATATAAACTTTTTACTAGTCAGTATTCGAGAAGATTGCCGGACTTTCTTTTTGTCTGCTAGGTAAATAGGAATGCTTACTTTTTTGTACAACTGACCTATTATTTGGCTCAGCATGAAGTCGAGATTTATATAATTGCCGCTATATGTCCAACTGCCCATTTTCAGGAAACATGTTTGCGTGTCGAATGGATAATATGTCACATCAACCTTAAAAAAAGAAAATTATTTCTTTTTCTAGACTACGCTAAAAAATGAATTCTGCAATAGCGGAGAGCTGCATCAATTTTAGAACAAACTTCTTAGCGAAAATGAACAGCGAACCTTGCATATAAATCTGAAAATTCCTGGAGGATTCTGTTGGACTTCACCGTCATAGTTTACAATGAATCGGGATGAGTATGTTGCGTCAAAAGCCTCCGAGACACTGAAAAAAGGCTTTGTGAGGCCAATCGGATAGACGAGGTATTAAAAAATAGAAGTAGGTAAAAGTAGCTACACTTAGAGAAAAAGAAAAAACTGATTTCAAGTGTACTCGTTTGCTACTCGGTTGTTCTACATGCATAATTAGCAAATTAAAGCTATCCGTTTTTTCGAATAATTTTTTTGGATCAAATCGTACTTATGTGGTGCGGGCAATCTTTTCGTAGATTTATCTGCACACTTCATGAATGCAGATTTTATTCGATTTTTTAGAGTATTTGGTCACTGACAAGTGGTTTAATTGATAAGCTTTTTCTCCAAATATATGGATAAGTGCTCTTTCTAACCT